CTCCAAAATAACTTTATACAATGAAAATTCAATGCCAAAGAACATGTATAACTTACTAATATAGCACGAGAGACTTAAGAATGCACTGGGAAGATAACATGTGACATGTAGATACTAAAACAGGTGCTCTAGAACCAATGGCATAATTAGTAAATTAAAAACTGGGAGTAAACTTCATTCCATTTATAATGACAAGCATTCAAGGAAAGACATTGGTCAATTTTGCACAACTAAAATGAGCATAACTGAATGGAAAGCAAAATCTGGCCTGCAAATTGAATTAAGAGTTGATAATACTCAATGATACAGATACATGTATGCTAGATAAGAACATTATTGAAAACCATTTAGCATGTCCAGTTTATACATTGGTCAGTGAATAAATTAGAAGTTTGAACATGGATGGAGCACAAAAAGATGACTATTCCAATTCATCTGAACTAACAATCATTTAAGGCATCACACCACAAAATAAATATACTCCAGTGCTAAACACCACAGTAAATGCTTACATGTGTGCATGGGAGAAACAGAGAACAAAATGCAAGCAAAAAGTAAAATTGACAGAAGAAGATGATGAAGGGCGCTGGGAAGGGGACCTCAACACCACTCTACAACAGTTGAAAATGGTATGCATATTGATTCAAAGAATTCCTTCAGTTTTTTGTTTCTTTACCACACCTTTATTATCTTGTTAATGTACATAAACATTGATGGAAACTAGTGGTAACTTCATTATATATATATATATATATATTTAGTCATAAACATTTATCCTGCCTACGGTTCTTGCTTTCACCTTGAGTTTGTTATTCCTTATGATTACAGACTATGATGGCTCTAATGAAGACTGAACTTATGCAAACTGGATTACATCTGTGTCTCTAAAGATGTATATACAAAGAGACTTTCCCTCACGTCCTAAACTAAAGTCAAAAGGTGAGTGGATCTTGTGCTTCTATATGTCATTTCTACCTTTTTGCCATCCTGCATGAAGTAATATCTTCTCATATGAAACTATGTTATGATGTCTTGCAGGTTGAATTGTGCATTCACAAGCTGGATTTTAATGCTGTCAAGTTGTCACACTGTCCGACTCAAAATCAATTCCCTTCCTAAAACTGAACCCCTTTCTTCCCCTAAAATCCACGTTTGAACTTGTATTATCTCTGTTTAATTTCTGTGAGGCTTGCTGGTGTGTGTGTTATGGTGTGAAGTAAAAAAGATGAACGTCATGTGTTCTGCTTTCATAAGATAGATCGTGGTTTGCATATGGATTATCAACTGAATTATGCATTTGTTCTTGTTAGTAATTTTGAATGTCTCTATCAAATGAATGAGCTTTATAGCTAGTACTCTTTTGCTGAGTGTTACAAATTTGCAGATGATCCTTCGTACTTGGATCTTTAGATAAGCAGAGACCTGAAGAAGCTGATTATTCTCATTTCGTTCATTGTACAATTTTGTGATGATTTTGTTAGTTATAGCAGCTTGATATTGAGTTTTTCGGTCTGTACTGGCTAAAAAAAATGCAGGCTAGGCTGAAAATGAACCTACGGACATTTTTTCCATATTCGGATGGTTCAGCTTGCTAACTGCCTCTTCTGTGCCCATCAACTGTTTCTTAAAATGCCATACAGACACTCTGAGACCATATGATTGCAGGTTAATTCTTCTTAATCCTTCTTTAATCATTATGTATCTATTATGCTTTATTTTCGTTTATCGATTGATTAACAAAATTGAATGATTTGATGGATTACCAGCATCAATGGAAAGATAGGGTTGACAAGAAAGATAATAAGTTTGTTTGGTTTTCTTCAATTGGGCTTGGCCTTAGTTAGCACCTGTCTTCATATCATATACTCTTTTTTTTTTTTTTACATACCATCTACTCTTTTCTTTTAATTGTAATAGTTCTAATTTTTAAGACAAAAATTTTAAGTAAAAATTTACCATAAAAATTGAATGCCAATTGTTAATTTTTTTCCTCTTATTCGTAGTTCTTGTTTAGCCATCTACTTAATTGAAAAAAAAAAGTTTAATTATTATTTATATACTATGTTAAATTTTCACAAATATTTTTAAAAAAAATTAAAAAATCAAAATAAAACTACTATTGTTGAACATGGAGAGTAATACATTAGAGGTCATGCCACACCCAATATCTTAGTAGTCACTAAAGTAGTCCCTCATTCAAGTGGTTACCAGTTTTTTTATAGATGCATCTTATTAATGGTTAAAATAAACTATCAGCCCAACAATTGGGGGCTTCTCCATTAAGCATAACAGAAAATACTAATGGAGAATGCATGGGATGGAGGAAGCAATGTCAAAAAGTTAGGGGAAAAAAGGGTTAAGCACTTAATTAAAGTATAATTAAAGAAAAAAAAGTTAAATACTTAATAAAAGCCTACTTAAAGATTAAGATCCTAATTTTCAAAGTGTATTAGTGATTTTAATTAACACAGTTTATAGCATTGTTTAACTTTGGCATTTTTAAGATAATTAATTGTTAAAAAAATAATAATTAAACAATAAATATTCCCTTATCATGTACCCAAAGGAAAACAGTAAAAAGAAAAAAAAAATTACGGAACAAAGTTTTCCAAGCCTAAATCATCTCATAAGGGTGCCAATATCCACATCAACTTGAAAGCAAAGAAACGAGTTCTTTAAATGTTAAACTCCAAATGGGCTGCTTGACGGGCATTGTCGCGCAGGCCTGTGACCCAAGTGGGGCCAATAAGTTGATATGGTGAGAGTACTTGATGGGCTCCTAAAACTTTGGGTCACGTTGCATATATGGAGACAAATGGTCGGCCGATGCATTATTGCGCGGGCAAGTGGTGGGACCTTGGGTTGTATCCTTTTGCATCACTCCCTTGGATTCGGATAGCTCAGCAGCTTGTGCTTATCCTCTTATTTTGGTGCCCATCAACTGTTTGTTGAGATGTCCCACAGATATTCCGAACCAAATCTCACCTATAATTGCAGGTTTATTGTACTTAATCCTTCTCTTCTTTTATTTACCCTCTCAAGTTTTACTTATTCCGAACCAAATTCAATGCAGTACTTCTGCAGAGACAAATTGGTCCGCCATCTGCTAAGGGTGAGACCTCCGGATGTATAACTTTATTGAACACGACACACGGGAAGCAACTCAGCTTTTACTTTTCCTCTTTGCTGTCCATCAACTGTTGCTGTACAAATACTGTGAACCAAGTCTGGACAAAAAAATGAGAGGTCGGTTTTACTTTATCCTTCTCTCTAATCTTGCATTTACTTGGACTCTGCTGGTTATTAATATTAAACTGAAATTGGCATATTGGTTTGTTCGTTTGTTCTTTAGATAACAAAATGCATATCAATAGTTTGTTGAAGGATTATT